GTGGACTCTCACGCACCAGCAGCCCCAACCATGGTGGGGCAGAGGTGGTACTTGTGGACTCTCACGCACCAGCAGCCCCAACCATGGTGGGGCAGAGGTGGTACTTGTGGACTCTCACGCACCAGCAGCCCCAACCATGGTGGGGCAGAGGTGGTACTTGTGGACTCTCACGCACCAGCAGCCCCAACCATGGTGGGGCAGAGGTGGTACTTGTGGACTCTCACGCACCAGCAGCCCCAACCATGGTGGGGCAGAGGTGGTACTTGTGGACTCTCACGCACCAGCAGCCCCAACCATGGTGGGGCAGAGGTGGTACTTGTGGACTCTCACGCACCAGCAGCCCCAACCATGGTGGGGCAGAGGTGGTACTTGTGAAGTGTTCGGCCCCAGCAGCCCCAACCATGGTGGGGCAGAGGTGGTACGTGTTGACTCTCACGCACCAACAGCCCCAACCATGGTGGGGCAGAGGTAGTATGTGTGGACTCTCACGCACCAACAGCCCCAAACATGGTGGGGCAGAGGTGGTACGTGTGGACTCTCACGCACCAGCAGCCCCAACCATGGTGGGGCAGAGGTGGTACTTGTGGACACTCATGCACCAGCAGCCCCAACCATGGTGGCGCAGAGGTGGTACGTGTGGACTCTCACGCACCAGCAGCCCCAACCATGGTGGCGCAGAGGTAGTACGTGTGGACTCTCACGCACCCGTGATATTTTTTTCCGTACGAAACATTCGTATGAAACTTCACTCGGGCCATCTCGGATTGACTCGAGTGAGTACGATACGAGGAACAAGAGCAGACACTTCGCAATGTCGTGACGCTCGAGTTTTACTGTTATTGCTCTTTCTATGTTTACCTACGTTAGGCCTATGAAATTTCACGGACTTATGTGATGTACGTCACTGTGTAACTAACTGTGACCTTCTTGGATGTTATTAAATGTTAGTATATTATCTACAACAACAACAGCTAGTGCCTCCTGTTATAAAGTGTAGATAGGTACAGTTATACCAAAGGCTAGAGAGAAAGAGGATAAGGCCTAACTACAGGCTGAGATCTTACCTAGGCCCCTCCTTAAACTAGGCCTAGGGTCATAGGCTGACACAACAGTCACGCTTCACATACTGACATGGACTGAAATTTTGGGGGGAAAATGGGACAAAATTGAAGCATAAAATGAAAAATACAGCGCATAAGAGAAATATTAAATAAATAATACCATTCCGGCGTTATTGAACTTGTCCAAACTATCATTGTAATGTAATTAGTGTTAAATAATAATAATAATTTCAGCATTAATTACCTTTGGCCTAAGCCTTGTAATGAAGAACCTACAGATACTGTACTATAGTTTACTAGGCCTATAAATAATGATCGCCCAAGGGGAATATCTTTTATGTTATTTCCCCTTAACGTCGTTTTTTTTAATTGTCCTCTAATTCCTCCATTGTCTAAGTTCCCCTTAAGGTACAGGTAATAATAATATTTAATTAATAATAATAATAATAATTTCAGCATTAATTACCTTGGCCTACTTGTAATGATCAGAACCTACAGATACTATTTCAAGGCCTATAAATAATAAACTAGCCCAAGAGGAATATCTTTTGTGTTATTTCCCCTTCGTCTAAGTTCCCCTTAACGTACAGGTAATAATAATAATAATTATTATTATTATTATCATCATTTCGGCATTACATGTAATTAACTTGGTCTAGCTTTGTAATCAAGAACCT